CAAACCAACTCAACGACTGACTGACAAAATGTGAAAAATGGACAACTGTGGTATTAGGACACTGATCCCAAATCAACCACTTGGAATCCCGAATCACACACAGATCCCAGAAGGAATGGACAACACACGATGAAGGAGGAACCACATGAACCCGAACCAGCCCAGAAAGACCATCCCAATGAACATGGAATCTGGATCCCAAGGAGGTGACACACATGGACCAGCCAATGGACATGGGCACTGTGGCTTTAATAACATGGAATCCCTTGACCCATCCCACAGTGGCCTCCAAATCCAAGTGAGTGAGTGAGTGAGTGGACATTAACGTCACATCGGCACATTAAATATATCGTGACGAGACACATTGAAATGGAATATAGGAACCTAAACAATGAAGGACAAAACAACAGAATATGACACAGATGAACTAGTGGAAGGAAGAACACAGCACATGGACACAAGATAAAAAAAATAGGCAGTGGACACAACAATTGAAGAAGACAATGAAGAATTATGGATGGAGAAGGAAAATATGGACCCAGAGGCCTGATGGAGACCCATCCCAAGGACACACATGATAAAAAATCCCAGGACACGGAGGAAGGAGATCCATGACCACACACAAATGGAAAGATCCCACCAGCCACATGACCCCATGATGGAGACCAACACAGGAGGAACCCGACCATCACATGGACAAGGATCCCCAAGGACGAAATATTGAAACCCAGACATCCAGGAAGACCGACCACATGGACATCCGAATCACACAGATGAACACACACATGACCCAGGAAATACGGAGAATCCAACCATCCATCCATGTATCAGAGTGAGGAAAGCACGCTGACCACACACACATGGAATCGAACCCATGGACGATGGAACCCGAACTAGAACGAACCACTTAAGGAAATAGAGACACACAAACACACAGAAAAGAACAACAGTGAAGACATGAAAAAATATGAAAAACTAATGAAGCCAGGAAAAGGAGACAGACACCCCAAATGAGACCCATCGCCCAACAGAATCAACACAGGAAGAACACACTGAAACAGAATGAGAATGGACAGACACATGACCACAGACACCAACATGACAGACCCACAGATCCATGAACACAGACACGGGACAACACTGAATGGACAAGGACAAGAAATGACCCCAGTGGAAGAACACATACAGAACATAATAACACAGGACACAATCAACATATACAGAAGAAAGGAACTTAACAGGAAGACACAACACCAAGATTGACAGACCAGACTGACTGTAACCACATGCACAGTGGCCTGAGAGAGAAAATACACACAGAGACAACACACACAATGGAAAATAGAAGAACATGAAGGAAGAATATAAAAGAATAAAGAAGGACAAAGACATAATAATGGACAGAAAATATAAAGAACATATATAAAATAATTATGGAAGGAACAAATATGGTCTTAAAGACAGGCATTTGACAAAATGGCCCAACAACAAATGGGACTAATTAAATGACAGTAGATGGAATAGTTTCAGCAGGAATGGAAGGACAGAATGGGGTGAAGACACAATGGCCAAATTAGACACATGACAGAAGGAAAGGAAGACACATAAATGACGGACAAATGAAATGAAATGGAGGAAAGAAATGGAACAGAATGGAATATGACAGTGAACAGGAATGGAATGGATGGAAATAGACATAAGAACACAGCAATGGTAGACAGAACACAAAATGGAAAAATATTCAATGACATGGAAATAATGGAAAATTGATATGGACAAATAAAGAAAATAGGTATGTGAATGGATGGATGGAATAGCCCACAAATGACAAACAGCGGGGATGGATGAAGACAGAACTTATAGATGAAATGAAATGAAGATGGAGTTCTGAATGGATGAAGAATGGAACATGGACATCTTAATGGAACAAGGAATATGGACAGGAAGGGAAGAAATGGATGGATCTTATGATTCTGTTTCTATGAAATTTCGCTCATTTATTCCAATGATATTCGTGGGCTATGTTTCCAATAATTCATACTTAAAAGCCGACAAGAAAGTCTACAATGCTAAAACACTTAGGACTAAGTTTGGGTTTCACTGAATACAGCTGAATTAGGCTGAGGCTACAGCACACATTTAAGGACTGTTTTTCAATTGTTGTACATTTGTGGAAGGATAATTACCTGTGTGTATAGTGTAATTTCAGACAGAACCGAACACTGCAAAAAAGCATTCTTGAATATTCATATTTTTATGCTTCCTTCTCAGGTTTAGAAATGAATAGCAACAAAACATAGGCAGTACTGAAACTCAAGAAAATAACTTTTCCAAAAGGAAACTACACTGGTTTAATCAAATAACAAAGTAAATTAATAAGTGTTAATTTCACTGAAGACTCTCAGTAAAATATCTAACCGTGTCTTGGAAGACCAGACCTATTTAACACTTCCAAATAAAATTTGAATATCATTTGAAAAAAGGAAAGAAGCTATGAAGAAGGTAGTATACTAGCGCCATGAAATTCTTTAAAGGAATTTAGAAGTGCGTTGATTGCTTCATTTCCATGTAGATGTCTGATGAAAAATACGTTGTGAAAAATAAATCAAGAAGTTGTTATCCATAAGATTTGTCTTGTATTACTAGCGCCATGTTTTCAGTAACACGTTTCAGGATTCTATATGGTGTTCACTCCGATATTAACATATAAAAGGTATATCTATTTACGACTTTACAATTTATGAGGCCTATTTTCACCCCGATATTATTTTGAAACATAATACCTTGATACCATCAGATGTTCAGCAGGGTGACACGATGTCCGTACAAGGACATTTGTGACGTGACATCAACTGGCGTCGCATTAAACATTGTAAAGGTCATGATATCCATACACACCGTATACGGTTTGTATGGGGTTTACCAGACAGGTACATTCGATACAGGGGTGGAAATAACTTTAAAATTGCTAGTGTACTCCGATACAGTGGCACATGTAAAATCACTTGCCCTGATAATTTTTCCACTATACCGGCCATTTTCTTGTTGATTTTTTAAATAAACAACATAATTAACATTGGAATATCAACTGGACACCGGTACAGTGTGATATACAAATTTGCTTTCCCGACAGAAAAAAACACTGGACTCGGGCGTCGGGCAATGGGTTATTTCCACCCCTGCGATAACGAGTGATAAACAAGAAAACTGATAAACAAGAGCATTACATGAATCCAAACGAAAAGATAAATTTCCATTACTTCTTCCAACTAGTATAAAAAAGTAATCAACTCAAAAATAATAATGTCTGGTTTATGCAGTGTCTGCTTGAAAAATATAATCACTGATAAAGCAGAAGCGTAAAAACTAATAGCAAAATCCAAAGCTACCTATCAAGACCGAAATATAGTTATTGCAGTTATTGCAATATTGTACAATTTTGACGAATCATATCATTATCTTCCAGACAGCTCTCATAAAGGCATTGTCTTCGAGAAATTTCACCTACGAACGATCTACGTTTTTAGCAAGATCATATACTTGTGCTTATGAAAGATCAGTATGTCATCATACCGGGGTATCCTTACCACTGACGTAAACCGTGACGGCGATCACAAAAACCTGAAGAAGAACGTTAGGTGTTTACCTGAAAAACAACGGGTGTATATTCCTCCAAATAGGGAACTGCTTCTGGTACCTGTTTTGTCCATGTTGAGTGTTTTTAGAAGTTCTTCACATATCTTTATTAAGAAATTCGAAAATATCTAGGAAGGCCTTGAATGTTGTTACTCTCATCAGACAACTCCCACGCAATTGTCAGAAGACGGTCTTTCAAATCTTTTCAGAAGCAGTATCCTAAGATGTACCTGAACGTAAATGTAGACATCAAAAGCCTGTGTCCGCCCTGGAATTGGAAAGAAGAAGCCACTGATATTTTCATACAGTGTTGTGGATGGTGTTTATGGCTCTGAATCACTGATCATATTATGGCCTCATTGGAATGAATAGTGTGAGTGTGCGAGATGGGTTTACCGCCGCCTTTAACATTTTTCGAGTTATATCAGGACGTGTCTCCTAATATGGTTAGAAATCAAGTGATGCAGTTGTACGAGTGTACATAGTGGGGATTAGAACCAATAATCACAGGTTTGGCGTGCCCAGGGGACGCAACCCGGAACAACGAATTATTAACAATACCAGTTGTGATTATAAAATAATGACATGTTGAGAGTTTATCATCTTTACTGTAGGAATTTTCATGTATACATAGTGCTTCAAAACAGTGTATTTTCAGTAGATCTGCTGGTAATTTCGTCTAATACATCCGTTTATTTGCGACGTAACACCCTGGAATGAAGTAATTAGAGAGGTAGCATGGATTCGCTACGCACCATCCAAAATGCGACCCTCTCATGCAACAACGGAACAACAATATAAATGCACCTACAATCATTCACCACTGTTTAGCGTGTCATTACTTATACCCTCACTCTAAACCCATTCAGTATCGAGGACACACATCCATTGTCTGTTCAAAAAGTGATTGATTAACTTTGTCTACATAATAAACAAAGATCATCATATTACTGTAGGTATTTCAAATTAATTCAAACCTGTTTCAAAACGTTTAGTGTGTCATTACTAGTAACTTAACTCTAACTGCATTCAGTTTTGATCAAACACATCCTTTGTCTATTCAAAAAGTATATGATTTACTTTGTTTCCATAATAATGACAGTTTGAAAGTTCATCATATTACTGTAGGTATTTCAAATGAATTCAAACCTGTTTCAAAACGTTTAGTGTGTCATTACTAGTAACTTAACTCTAACTGCATTCAGTTTTGATCAAACACATCTTTTGTCTATTCAAAAAGTACATCATTTACTTATTCTCCATAATAATGACAGTTTGAAAGTTTATCAATTTACTGTAGGTATTTGAAGTGAATTCAAACCTGCTTAAAAACATTACTGTGTATTTACATGTATGGCAGAACTCACGTCATGCTATTACATAGGCTGGTAATGTTGTCTGCAAGACCACGTATCGCTTTCATATCGGGATCAAGTACCGACCTGGAATGGAATATATAGAATACGTAGCAAAGATTCGGTTCTCAGAATCCAAAAATACAACACCCTCATGAAACAAGGGAACAACAATATAAATATACCTAGAATCAGTCATCACCGTTTAGTGTGTCATTACTAGTAACTTAACTCTAACTGCATTCAGTTTTGATCAAACACATCCTTTGTCTATTCAAAAAGTATATGATTTACTTTGTCTCCATAATAATGACAGTTTGAAAGTTCATCATATTACTGTAGGTATTTGAAGTGAATTCAAACCTGCTTAAAGACATTACTATGTATTTACATGTAAGGCAGAACTCACGTCATGCTACAACATGGGCTGGTACAGTGGTCTGCATGATCAAGTATCATTTTCATATCGAGCTGACGTCGCAACCTGGAATGGAATATATAGAATACGTAGCAAAGATTCGGTTCTCAGAATCCAAAAATACAACACCCTCATGAAACAAGGGAACAACAATATAAATATACCTAGAATCAGTCATCACCGTTTAGTGTGTCATTACTAGTAACTTAACTCTAACTGCATTCAGTTTTGATAAAACACATCCTTTGTCTATTCAAAAAGTATATGATTTACTTTGTCTCCATAATAATGACAGTTTGAAAGTTTATCATATTACTGTAGGTAGTGAATTCAAACCTGCTGAAAAACATTACTATGTATTTACATGTAAGGCAGAACTCACGTCATGCTATAACATAGGCTGGTAATGTTGTCTGCAAGATCACGTATCGCTTTCATATCGGGCTCAAGTACCCACCTGGAATGGAATATATAGAATACGTAGCAAAGATTCGGTTCTCAGAATCCAAAAATACGACACCCTCATGAAACAAGGTAACAACAATATAAATATACCTAGAATCAGTCATCAACGTTTAGTGTGTCATTACTAGTAACTTAACTCTAACTGCATTCAGTTTTGATCAAACACATCCTTTGTCTATTCAAAAAGTATATGGGCACCCGTGAAGAGCCACCTCCTCGTGGTGGGTGCTTGGTAACGCTAAGCGCTCTTCGACCCCCCGTTGTGGACCCTGGGGGATATTTGGTCCACCAACCCGTTTGCCGTGGGTTGCGCCCCTGTGTCGGTGGAGGACGAGAGGCTGGTGGTTGAGGGCACTGGTTCCAGGAACAGTGTTCCTTTGCCCAACACACCACTTCGCCCCTTACTTCACCTAGACGGGTGGTTGAACTGGCCCGGTTCAATCAATCGGCTGGTCACGACAAGCCCTGTGCTACAACTGTAAAATGTTGCACAAAATTTGAGAATTATTATATAATATTTTTAAGTCTTGGCAATTTTTAAACTTTGAATTTATGAATTTCAACTGCACAATTTCATGTATGTTTTAGCCTAGAGTCGTATGCCCAGAAGGCGGTGGCTCATGGGCCAATCTGGTGGATTCATTAATCTTTTAATTTTTCTGCTGGAGTATGTCATCCGGGTATCCTTGGCGCTGCAAGTCGGAGATCCACTTGTTTTTAGCATTGTCCTTGTGATACTCCGTGGTGGGTGGGGAGCTCGGATGATGAAATCTAACAAAATAACCATGGCTTATGAAACACCAACAAAAAAAACAAACGTCCTCTTGACAATGACCCTGTTGATGATGACCACAGACTGCCTAAATCGATTGAGTATTGGCCACGTTTCCTTGTAATGGAGACTCTAGACAAGAGTCCATTAAAGTTGAACCCTTTTGCAGTATCTAAGGGTATTCAAGGTATTGCTCGGGATGTAAAGAACAATAAACATCTCCATTCAGGTGCGCTGCTAGTTGAATGCGCAAGAAAAAACGCAATAAACCAACTTGATGAATACAGAATTGTTCGTTGGCATTCAGGTCTCGGTCTCTGCTCACAAAACTTTGAACACAAGTAAAGGAATCGTCAGAGACCGGGATCGATTGTTTGATGATATGTCAGAACTTGACATAGTATCAGAGATGAAAGATCAAGGTGTCCTTTACGTTAAGCGCTTTACAACCCGAAAAAACAATGAAACTTTCAGAACGAATACCTATCTGTTTTCCTTTTCATCTCCAAATGCTCCCAAACGCTGAAGGCAGGTTACTGTAACATTCCCGTTGACACCTACATCCCTAACCCACTCAGGTGTTTTAAATGCCAGAAATATGAACACGGTGTAAATACTCACTGTGGTGAGAAGACACACACAACAGAAGATTTTAACAGTACTTTTAAAAAATGAACCAACCATTCAGCTTTTTCTAAAGAGTGTCCCATTTGGAAAGAGCAAATGGCAATTAACAAAATCAAATTTACCCAAAATATCACTTTTTCTGAGGCAAAAAAACTGGTAAAGAGATCCGACCTTCCAGAGAGTTATGCTGCAGTAGCCAAAACACCATCTGAGTCTAGCTTTAAAATAACAAAATCATCCACTAGCTGCCAAACAACCTTGACTTGGGTCAAAGGGGACTCTCCACTGAATTTGTACCCTGCCATATCATCTCAGACTGAGGAATCACTTCCTGGTACGTCAAAATCTTCTTCTGATCATAAATCATCCTCTCAATCATGCTCACTCACTCAATCGTCATCTGACAATCAACAAATTGTTCAAAGTAAAGGTAAGCCTAAGCCTGATGCTAACAAGAAACAAAGTGGCAGAGCTCCAAAGGGGTCGCAAAATAAAATTCAGTTGTTCAACAAATATGGATCTCTTGAGGACATGGACGTATCTGAAAACGTCCATTCTAGGGCACATAGCTTGTCGCCCTCAAAACAAGTGCAGGGTAGATCCCCAATAAATCCCCCCAAAAGATAATGTCTTCTATTAATCTTGTACAGTGGAACTGCAGAGGGCTAAGGAATAATTTCAAAGATTTGCAGCTATTAGTCCAGGACTTCACACCATCAGCCATTTGTCTCCAGGAGACATATTTAAAACAGACGGATACATTTGATTTACGTCATTTCAATGCATACCATTCCTTTTCACCTCCAGGTGATCCGGCCACTGGAGGATCTTTGATCCTTATCAAACAAAATGTTATCCATATCCCTGTTATACTTAATACCGGTCTCCGGGCGTTTGCCGTACGACTGACGTTACATGTTGCGTTCACATTATGCTCTTTGTACATCTCACCGTCTTCAACTCTTCAGAAGACTGACCTTCAAAATTTATATGACCAACTCCCAAAACCTTGTATCATTATGGGAGATGTAAATGGCCACAACCCGCTCTGGGGTGGTACAACAACTAATGCTAAAGGTAAACTTTTAGAAGAGTTTTGTTCAGACAATGATTTATGCATATATAATGATGGTTCTAGCACATATTTACATCCTGGCACAGGAACTTATTCAACTCTTGATTTATCAATTACTGACTCAGACTTATTGAATGAATTTGAGTGGTCAGTCCACGACGACCTGTGTGGAAGTGACCATTTCCCAACAATTCTCAAACCCGTGAATCCATCTGATGTTCCTCCATCATCAAGATGGAACTTAAAGAAGGCTAACTGGCCTTTATATGAAACTTTCTGTGCTGACAAACTCAAACCTGAACTTTTCATGATCTTCCTGATGCTATCAAATGTTTTTCAGATGAGCTCCAGACACATAGCTGACAAGTGTATCCCCAAATCCTCTGCAGTTCCTCATGTACGTAAAACCATGGTTTAACAGCTGACTGCAAACAAGCTCTCAAGGCAAGGAAGAAAGCTGAACATTATTTCCGTTGCCATCCTACGGTCCACAATTTAAACAAATTTAGAATTTTAAATGCTAATGCACGGCGTACTTTTAAACAAAGTAAAAGCCAATCTTGGCGAAACTATGTCTCAAACATCAATTCGCGCACGCCGATATCAAAGGAGTGGAACATGTTCCAGAAAATAAAAGGTAAGGGCTCTAAATCTAGCGTTAAGCATCTCAAAAATGGAGATGAATTATTAACTGATAAATCTGACATAGCAAATAAACTTGGAGAAACTTTGGCCAAACATTCTTCCTACTCTATTCTAACTACTAGTATGTACCTGAATTCCAGAAATATCAAAAACAGCAGGAAAAGAAACCTATTAATTTCAATTCAGACAATGGGGAAGACTACAATGAAACCTTTTCGATACATGAGCTTGATACTGCTCTTGACCAAGCTCACGATACTGCTTCAGGAGCTGATGGTATACATTATCAACTCCTGAAACACTTACCTGAATCATGTTTAGAGACGCTCTTATCTATTTTTGGTGACATTTGGACATCTGGACAATTTCCTTCCTCGTGACGTGATGCTATAATTGTGCCCATCCCTAAAGCTGGACGTGATCATACTGATCCTTCCAATTATAGGCCAATTTCACTAACTAGCTGTATTTGCAAGACCATGGAACGCATGATAAATAATCGACTTGTTTGGTACTTGGAAACCAATAACCTTCTAACTAATATACATTGTGGTTTTCGAAAAAACGTAGTACCATCGATCATTTAGTGCGCTTAGAATCTTTTGTGAAAAATGCCATAATTAATAAACAGCATGCAGTGTCAATCTTTTTCGATTTAGAAAAAAGCATACGACACAACATGGAAACATGGGATTTTAAAAGATTTACCTGACTTTTGGATTCTGAGGCGTTTGCCTCACTTTTATATCAACTTTTTAAATGACAGGCAATTTCAAGTCCAGTAGGTTCAACCCTGTCTGACCATTACAATCAGGATCAGGGGAGTCCCATAAAGGCAGTATTTTGTCTGTAACATTGTTTAGTATCAAGATTAACAGTTTATCAAAGGTTTTAAATGATTCAATAGATGGGTCACTTTTTGAGGATGATTATAATATTTCTTGTCGCGGTAAGAATATGCATACTATTGAACGGCAAATGACGCTGTGTTTAAATAAAATACATAAATGGTGTCTTGAAAATGGCTTTAAATTTTCTAAATCCAAAACTAATTGTATACATTTTTGTAGAAAATATAAACCCGCATAAAGACCCGGAACTGTTCCTCAATGGCACTCCCATCAAAGTTGTAAAGGAGGCCAAGTTCTTGGGTTTAATTTTTGACTCGCATCTAACTTTTCTTCCCCCTATCAAGTCCCTAAAAACTAAATGCCTTAAGGCACTTGACTTGTTGAAAGTCGTTTCCAATTCTAAGTGGGGAAGGGATCAAGCTACCCTCCTACAATTATATTGATCATTGGTACGCTCCAAACTTGATTATGGCTCCATCGTGTATGGTGGAGCCTGCAACAGTAGTGTTTAGCCCATTTCCGCCGTGATATTGCTGGAATATTGCTAAAAGCGGCATAAAACTAAACTCAGTCAGTCAGTCAGTGCAACAGTAATCTAAAACTATTAGATTCTGTCCACCACCAAGGTCTAAGACTATGTCTTGGTTCCTTTAGAACTTCACCTGTTGACAGCCTCTACGTCGAGGCTGATGAGCCATCTCTTACACAACGCCGTATAAAATTAACATTACAGTATATTACAAAACTTTATTCCAATGAGTCAAACCCTGCATATAACTGTGTCTTTAATCCACTATATGAAGATCTGTATAACAAAAAGCCTTCTCTTGTTCCGCCTCTTTGTATAAGAGTGAAACCTTTCCTTTCTGCTGCTGGGATTGAGCTAGACCATATAACCCCTTCCCGTCTGTTTTCTTCTCCGCCTTGGCAGTTGGTTAGGCCACAAGTTGACCTAACATTAACTACATTTAAAAAATCAGAAACAAATGAATTACAGTATAAACAAGAATTTAGTCAATTAAGAAAAAAATATAATACATATAAATCTTTATTTACAGATGGGTCCAAGGACAGTGGCGCAGTGGCATGTGCCACTGTCATTGGATCCAGAACAATATCTTCTAGAATAGCGGATAACAGCTCTATATTTACAGCAGAAACAAACGCCATCTTAACAGCTCTTAAATATATCAAAAAACACCGTAAATATAAACAATATATCATCTATTCAGATTCTCTTTCATGTCTTCAGGCTATTAAAAATCTTTCTTGCAAACATCCACTTTTATTAGAAATTATTGAATTGTACAATGAACTTGCTACTGGCCAATGCGACATCGTCTTTTGTTGGTTACCCAGCCACGTTGGCATTTCTGGGAACACCATGGCTGATATTGCTGCTAAGGCAGCCCTCAACAAATCTGTGACACCACTTCTTATCCCATACTCTAATTATAAAGCCAGCATTAGAACATACATCCGCGATCTAATGCAAAAGAAGTGGGACACCCAAGTAGGTATTAATAAATTACATGCAATAAAACCCTACATTGGTTACACCTGCTTGGGTTGTCAGTCCAGATTTGAAAAGGTCATTATGCGACGATGTCGCATTGGCCATACCAGATATACTCATGAATATTTATTGAAAGGCGAAGATCCTCCGTGTTGTATCCCTTGTGATGAAAGGATCACAGTCAAGCATGTCTTGCTTGACTGCATTGAATATTCCATCACAAGGGATATCTATTTCAAATCCAAAACTCTGAAGATCTTTTTAATAATGTCAGTTCTCATTTAATTATTGCATTTTTTTTAAAATTAGATTTGATGAGTGATTTGTAAATAGATATATATTTTGTTATTGGTAGCAACTGAGATTGTTAGTGGCTGTATCCTCAAAGGGGGTTGAAGTATTGTAAAATTGTCCTCCTGAGAGGGTACGTTAGTCCCAAAACAGTTAGTCAATCTAAGTGTACCTGCTTTATAATCGTAGAATAAGTGTGTTTTTAATTTATGGCTAGATTTCTCTGTCGCCAATGGCTGAAGGGATGGTGTAAATCCAACTAGGGTCCATGCAGGTAGCAAAAGTAATGTAAGTCCCCATGGTTCCTAGTATGGTGATCTACCTTCAGTTGTTGGCGATCTATAGCCCGTTTGTATATTGTATTGTCTTCGTAAATAAAATAGTTTTACATGTTCATGCTAGTTTTAGACTCCATCTGTGATACTCTAGTTATTTTACAGTCCTTCGCTGACTGATTCTTTAGCAACTTTAATTTATTGTTTATATAACACATTTCTCGTCACTATATGGCTGAAATATTGCCTATGTGACGTTAAATATTAACTCACTACCTCAAAAAGTATATGATTTACTTTGTTTCCATAATAATGACAGTTTGAAAGTTCATCATATTACTGTAGGTATTTCAAGTGAATTCAAACCTGTTTCAAAACGTTTAGTGTGTCATTACTAGTAACTTAACTCTAACTGCATTCAGTTTTGATCAAACACATCCTTTGTCTATTCAAAAAGTGTATCATTTACTTATTTTCCATAATAATGACAGTTTGAAAGTTTATCATATTACTGTAGGTATTTGAAGTGAATTCAAACCTGTTTCAAAACGTTTAGTGTGTCATTACTAGTAACTTAACTCTAACTGCATTCAGTTTTGATCAAACACATCCTTTGTCTATTCAAAAAGTATATCATTTACTTATTTTCCATAATAATGACAGTTTGAAAGTTTATCATATTACTGTAGGTATTTGAAGTGAATTCAAACCTGCTTAAAAACATTACTATGTATTTACATGTAAGGCAGAACTCACGTCATGCTATAACATAGGCTGGTAATGTTGTCTGCAAGATCATGTATCGTTTTCATATCGAGCTGACGTCGCAACCTGGAATGGAATATATAGAATACGTAGCAAAGATTCGGTTCTCAGAATCCAAAAATACAACACCCTCATGAAACAAGGGAACAACAATATAAATATACCTAGAATCAGTCATCACCGTTTAGTGTGTCATAACTAGTAATTTAACTCTAACTGCATTCAGTTTTGATCAAACACATCCTTTGTCTATTCAAAAAGTATATAATCTCCTTTGTTTCCATAATAATGACAGTTTGAAAGTTCATCATATTACTGTAGGTATTTCAAATGAATTCAAACCTGTTTCAAAATGTTTAGTGTGTCATTACTAGTACCTTAACTCTAACTGCATTCAGTTTTGATCAAACACATCCTTTGTCTATTCAAAAAGTATATGATTTACTTTGTTTCCATAATAATGACAGTTTGAAAGTTTATCACACTACTGTAGGTACTTTAAGTGAATTGAAACCTGCTTAAAAACATTACTATGTATTTACATGTAAGGCAGAACTCACGTAATGCTACAACATGGGCTGGTACAGTGGTCTGCAAGATCATGTATCGTTTTCATATCGAACTGACGTCGCAACCTGGAATGGAATATATAGAATACGTAGCAAAGATTCGGTTCTCAGAATCCAAAAATACGACACCCTCATGTAACAAGGGAACAACAATATAAATATACCTAGAATCAGTCATCACCGTTTAGTGTGTCATAACTAGTAATTTAACTCTAACTGCATTCAGTTTTGATCAAACACATCCTTTGTCTATTCAAAAAGTATATAATCTCCTTTGTTTCCATAATAATGACAGTTTGAAAGTTCATCATATTACTGTAGGTATTTCAAATGAATTCAAACCTGTTTCAAAACGTTTAATGTGTCATTACTAGTAACTTAACTCTAACTGCATTCAGTTTTGATCAAACACATCCTTTGTCTATTCAAAAAGTATATGATTTACTTTGTCTCCATAATAATTACAGTTTGAAAGTTTATCATATTACTGTAGGTATTTGAAGTGAATTCAAACCTGCTTAAAAACATTACTATGTATTTACATGTAAGGCAGAACTCACGTCATTCTAAGACATAGGCTGGTAATGTTGTCTGCAAGATCACATATCGCTTTCATATCGGGATCAAGTACCGCCCTGGAATGGAATATATAGAATACGTAGCATAGATTCGGTTCTCAGAATCCAAAAATACGACACCCTCATGAAACAAGGGAACAACAATATAAATATACCTAGAATCAGTCATCACCGTTTAATGTGTCATTACTAGTAACTTAACTCTAACTGCATTCAGTTTTGATAAAACACATCCTTTGTCTATTCAAAAAGTATATGATTTACTTTGTCTCCATAATAATGACCGTTTGAAAGTTTATCATATTACTTTAGTTCTGAGTGTTTTCTATTTGGATAAATAACTTGCGTTTCTTATGCGTGTGAGTAATATACTCAAGCTTAACTGACTTATGTACACCTTAATATGTTTAATGCATCCTTATGTTTGACCTGTGCGTTTCTTTTTTGAAGAGTTGATATAATGTAAGACAGAACTCACATGCTTCCAATTGCTCCCTTTCTAACTAGCCACAACATCCTGGAAAGAAAACATGTACAAAGAGATAGCATATATTTGCTACACATCACACAAAATATGACACACTCAGGGAATCATGGCAACGGAACAACAATTTATATAAAAAATACAAACAATTATCACAGTTTATTGTGTCTTTGATAATAATTTAACTCTAATTGCATTCAGTGTTGATAAGAAATAATTCATTTTGTTTCAAAGTGATATACTGATATTGAATAAGAGATAATGTAATATATAATGCAATGTGATAATGTGTACATTACTCCAGATATTCAGTATCAGTTAATCCAATGAGTTGTTTCTCCTATTCTCTCATATTGTTCTGAAGTTTGGGGCTTTATGGTAGCTAATGCTATTGAAAGGGTACACTTGAATTTTATGAAACCTATATTACATGTCAAAATGTCAACTCCATCAGCTTTCCTATATGGAGAATTTGGTACATTTCCTTTGAAAGTTTTTCGTCTTGTCAGGACTATGAAATATTGGCTTAAGGGAGTGAGGTATTTAGTGAGTGAGTGCGTTAAAAATAAAACGTATACTGGCCACATAAGAAACTGTGCACACCGAAAATATAAAGATAGGCAGACAGTGTCTTTATACATAAATAAAGGTGTGAACATAGCAAGTATTGGAGACAATCAAACGATCATGCAGGTGCCAGGCGACGTGACGTCATTGATGGTGGCCTATGGACTTGCAATGTGTTACTGCACGTGCAGCCTGTGCAGCTGCACACAACATGTGAAACTCAGAAATTGCTGTCACTGTCAAAAGCTTGATCTTTGGTCATTCAAACGTTCACAAATTCACATGAGAAGTCACATGCACACCATGCCAAGATGAACATCTGCTCAACGTCATGAAGCCATTGGAATGGTTCGAGCAGGCATAAGCCAACAACAGGTGGCAGCACATTTCCAATGTCATCGTTACGCCGATATCTGCATTGGTCGAAGGCGTTATGGAAACAGTAATGATTTGCCGACCACTGACGTTCTGAAGTCCCGAGTAACTGGCGCCAAGACAGGACCGATGGATTCGGGTGACTCATCTCAGACACAGGTTCCAGGCGGCGGTGACCCCGTCCCAAACATTCCCCAGACCTTCAGTGCTCATTTGGTAGACTCTATGCGTCGTCGATGCACTGCTGTGCTTCACGCGCATGATGGTCATACCCGTTATTGACTTTGTGACTTCGACGTGTGACCCCCTACTCAATTTTGAACTTCTGACGTCATCGTTACGGATATTGTTCATGTTCTTTTGACATGGTGTTGTGGCCCGATACTTCAGCTTATAAAGTGTCCACATCATTTCGTCTTTTCTGTGTTGTATTCCAATTCTGAAGGAATTTTCTGTGTGCACAGTTTCTTTATGTGGCTAGTATATTAAGGAAACTCTGTGCATCGAGAAATACTTAACTAACATTGATATTAAGAAGTACAGAACTGCATTTCATGTTTCCGTCTCAGTTCACAAATGCTTATGATTGAAAATGAAAGATATAGTGTGCCTAAAATCCCATTTGCTTATAGATTATGCCTCTTTTGTACTAACGAAATATGATGAGTACCACGTACTCTTGATTTGACCAAAATATTGCGAAATACTTAAACAACTTTATTGGAAAATATAGGTATGTTCAAGTTTATAAGGTTGTTAAAACTTCCGGTTGCGCATGAAATCTAGGCGGTCTCGTGTTTGAGGAGCTCTCGCAACCCACGGATGACTATGCCTTCACTGCTGAAAAACAGGATAATGTATATGAACTAAACCTTACAATTGGAAGGCAAAGTATTGAAGGTAAACTTTTTTTCAGTTTCAAAACCGTGCGATGAAACAATTGAAATACACATACACGCTACGTGGGGATGTCTGACACAGCGAGAGCAACACGTGCTACAGCGAACATGGAAGAAATTGTCCAAAACTCAGAAAAAAGGTTGGCTGCACTAATTTCTAATTCCAAACCAGAACTTCAAGCTTCCATCGATACCATTAAAAGTGAAATTTCTGACATTAAACAAACAGTTAGTGGGGTTTAGCACGCGGTCTCACAACATGATGACGATTTGAACTGTCTCCGTAACAAGATAGCTGAACTCAAGAAAGAAAAGTCGATTCTTGAGAAACAAGTGACTCTAAAAGATATACATGACCGGAAAAGTACTCTATTGTTTTATGGAATTCCGGAATAACCCCAGGAAAACTTTGAGAAAGTTCATCACAAAATCGCTTAAGTTCAGTGAGGACCGAGCCGACACCACTGGAAAAAAGTCCATGTTTACAAGCCTGGAAATGTCTTGGAAAGATGATGTTTCCAAGAAATTTCCAATTTTGGAAAGATGATGTTTCCAAAAATTTACAATTTTGGAAATGTCCACAAGGGGAGATAACTGGTGGGTGATGGTAAATTATTGTTATTTGCACGCCCCGGGACCTAATCCCTTGTTGATTGATGAGTGACTGACTGACTGACTGAGTTTGGTTTTACACCGCTTTCAGCAATATTCCAGCAACATCACGGCGGGGGACACCAGAAATGGGCTTCACAAATTGTACCCATGTGGGGATTCGAACCCGGGTCTTCGGCGTGACGAGCCAACGCTTTAACCACTGGGCTACCCCACCGGCCCGATTGATGAGTGAATCAAGGCAGTTAATAGTCACCAATTAACAAGGCCTACTGCCTTGTTAATTAACAAGTTTTTATGCCTCTTAAAGAAGCCCCTGGAAGTGAGTTAAATCTTTGCTGGGCATTAAGAAGTGGATTGCATTACTGTGACCTGATTTTCACCTGATGAAGGAGCAAGCATATGCTCCGAGACTTCCTGTTATTCACAATAAAGAAGTTGACATCCATTAATCTTGGTTTTCTTATTATAAAGGTAAGTTATTAAAATCTGCTGAGCTGTAGGCTTGTTAATCATGTCGCGATGTGATTATCGCTCTAACACGCCTGAGAGATTCGTCAACAGTGTGGTATGCACAGGCGTTGAAACTAGTATTGTATTACATTGGGTTGGTTGCATAATGTTTTGTGTTATGCTGTCAGTTTGTATATATGTGTGAATGAGGAACCTCACATATTATGACATTGAAAACAGACTAAGCTTAACATTATTCCATGGTCAATATCGCAATGTTAGTGATATGGTAGTATACGAAAGTTTGTTTCACATTTCTGATAATACCTTCTTTTATGCAGATAAAATTATTAAAAAAATGAATGAATAATGCCATGCTTCTCTCATAGTAAGGGAAGATAATTTATATACTGATTCTGACCAAATTAAATATTTCTTTATCGTCCGAACAGAATTCACAAATTACGGATGTTTTGTGTGGGTGGGTGTGCATGCACGCGTGTATAACATCTAACTTGATAGGTATTAAAATCAGGTCGTTTGTAACCATAATGACTATATTGGTTGGAACACTTGAGGAACAAAAATAATTTCACTCTTCAAAAGGAACTGGAACAGTAACATTTCTCATGTTTTCATATGAGCTTCAAAACATTGAATGAAATAAATGCTGTATGATGAAATGGATCAGAGAACATTATCATGGCATAAATGACGTGTGAATGACACATGTAATGGTCAAAATATATAATCACTATGTTAGACACGTCAAACTGGTACCGATAGATGTATATCTAATAATGTAAAAATTCAGTAGTAAATTTTCTTAGTACCTGAAATATAAAAACACGAATTTGGGATGAGATGTTTTAATCTGAGATCAATCTGTTAGGTAGCAGTTTACTAAAGTAGAACTTAAATCAACTTCAAAAGATTGATCATTCAAAGTGAAGCAGATCTCACTTATACTGCAGTAAACAGTATGGGGATACACAACGAAACATACCACTTACGTGATAACAACTCCCTGTTTATTGCATAGAGCTACAACATTCAGGATAAACAAGCTGATTGAATGTTGATTGATTCCATCACTTGGACAATGGAGTGGATTTCGACTTGTTGATCTTACTCTCTGTTGGCCCCAACGACGTGCTACTTGCTGAATTACCAGTTGTTAATTTACTGCTTGTCACTATGCATATATACTTCTATTCACCTGGTTGTAGTAACTTTTATCTTGATAACGGCGTGAGAATATACATGGAAACTCCCCTCTATCGACCTTGATAGAAGAGGATATTCCGGATTATGCGAATGAGAGCACACCTAATGAGAAAACGAGCCAAAAATATGTATAAAGATAGTGTTTTATTTCAGTCTCATTTCACTTAGCATATATACATTGAAATATAAAACACATAAAAACATAGAAGGCGTAAGCCACGAGTGGTAACGGGAGACTTTATGGACATATTTTATTTAATCATGTTACAACATGCTAAATTTTACAGGAATTATAAATAGTTATATTGCATCATATTATGAAATGTTTCAAAATATTACAAAAATTTAAATATACATACACATTTATAAGTACATTATAAATATATTAAAGATGAGAAAGAAGAGACGCTGAATCAGCAAACTGTCTAACAGATAAAATTCCATTTTGAAACTGGTGTCTCAGTTCTTGAAGACGACGTTCCAGGTATCGGTACTTGTTCTTCGTGGGTTGTCATTGGCCTTCGGCATATTGCACCAACGAGGTGTAGGAATGAACTTCTGTTCAAGTTGAGCATTAGCCATTTCGAAGTCGAATGTACACTTTCATGCTTCTTCTCATTATATATCCCCATGTAATTAGAGGGGAACTGATCCAGAGCGATTAATGTTTCTCGCCAACAGTCTAATTTCCAAACCAAACTGCAAGCTTGTCGGTATCTGCTCCCTCGACCGTGACGGACACAGGGACTGGGCTTCTGGCCACCTTGACAAAATTTCTTCAACCCAAACAGCGGGACATTAGGAAGGGTGGATGGTCATCAGATGCTGTTATTTGAGAATACCCCCGGCAGTTCCTGTCTGATTGCAATAAAGTATACCAGCAGTGTATGCTTTTCGGAT